CTCAAAAATCGTTACAAGTACTAGCATAACGATTCACCCACAGTACTATTATGAAGAACAAGGCGTGAACTGCAAGTTACCAGATTTTACGTCGCATGAAAATAGTCCGTGAAACTTCTCTTGCTTTTTGCGCAGGTTTCAGTCATTCTCAATATCATTGAAGCTTTTTAAATAAGTGAATTCAGCTGATTCAGCCTCAACAGCGTTGGTTGACACAGATCACCGGTGGAAGCTTTGTAGGGTTGGAAAGGGTTGGTTAGGAACGGCAGCGATGACATATTCATAACCGCACAGGTACACTTTGGCGGCACCGAACATGACAGCCATGCTCTCACCATTGATGCAGTCAGAAACAGCTACGTCGTCATGTTCACCGATTGAGATGGTACCCAGCAATTGCTGATAGGTCACAGAAGTCGTTTCTTCATTCTCTCTCGCTTCCTTTACAATGACACAGTCGTCGAAAAGACAGATGGACAGGTAGACGGATGCGTAAAGCGGCTATGTGCCACAGGGTATTTGAGATGGCGGTATTTTGAGTGTTCTCTAGATTGACGCACGAACGGATGCATGGACGGACAGACAGACAGACTGGCAGACAGACGGACAGGTGGACGTGTAAAGCGGCTATGAGCCACAGGGTATTCGAGATGGCGGTACTTTGAGTGTTCTCTAGATGGACGCACGGACGGACGCACGGACGGAGAGACAGACAGACTAGCAGACAGACGGACAGGTAGACGGACTTGTAAAGCGGCTATGTGCCACAGGGTATGCGAGATGGCGGTACTTTGAGTGTTCTCTAGACGGACGCACGGACGGACGCACGAACGGACAGACAGACAGACTGGCAGACAGACGGACAGGTGGACGGACGTGTGAAGTGGCTATGTGCCACAGGGTATGCGAGATGGCGATACTTTGAGTGTTCTCTAGATGGACGCACGGACGGACGCACGGACGGACAGACAGGCAGACTGGCAGACAGACGGACAGGTAGGTGGACGTGTAAAGCGGACATGTGTCACAGGGTATGCGAGATGGCATACTTTGAGTGTTCTCTGGTTAGACGCACGGATGGACGCACGAACGGACAGACTGGCAGATGGACGGACAGGTAGACGGACGTGTAAAGCGGCTATGTGCCACAGGGTATTCGAGATGGCGGTATTTGAGTGTTCTCTAGATGGACGCACGGACGGACAGACAGGCAGAAACCCTAGCTGCTAGCTTGAGGCAATGCTCTTTCCAAAGGAACACTGCCAAGTTTCCTCGTTGATAAAACCTGCAAGCCGGCCACTGCCCCAAGAATCTATACCACACCCAGCAGACGCCGTCCAGGCCTTCACGATGGTTCTGAAAAATTACTTGACCGGCGGCGTGCTACTTCGCACCTACAATAAGCACGGGCTCCTTTCTGAGAACGCGGTTTACGCTTCCCAAGGCGTGGATTGTGCAACAATCACTCTACCATTATCTGAGTTGCCCAGGAATGCCGTTTGCGCTCCCTTGGCTATGTGTCTCCCCTCTGTGAATGCTAAACTCACTGCATATTGCACAAACGTCATTTCTTGCTCATCAGGCCCCTAACCCAAGAGCGCCGAGCTCTTATGTGCTCTCTCACAACTGTCCTAACAGCTGGATTGCTTGGCGTCGTTAAGCTCTGGGGTTCAGCCGGTGGCCTCACCATATACTGCTCTTTCAGAAGTACTGGAGTTCTGAAGCTTTCAGGATGACGCTGATATATTGGTGGCAACTGCCAATGGACTCAGATCTCGGCATGCCTGGCCTGACAATTATAATTGGCAGATAGCCATCGACCACCTTCGTGGAAGTGCCGAGACATGGCATAAATACGAAGGCATGAAGCAACGGACTTGGCTGAAATGAAGTGCAAGGCTCATTGCTGCTTTCGGCCAGATCTACCATGACACATGTGCACCCAACCAGACAATGTGCACCCAACCAGACAACTATTGATGATGAATCTAAGAAAAGGATTATCCTCGAGGATGCAGCTTAACAGTGCAGCTCCCCTACGAAATGTTCAGAATCCATCCCTCACACGAACACTGGATTCAGCTTGTTTTCACAGCCAGTCCAGAAAAAGGATGTCCTGCCAAGTTTCGATGACCAAATTGACTTGACACTACCCCATGCCCAACATCAAGGCACCCCATACCCACTGCAACGGCTTCCTACACTACAAGTCCGCGTCGACAAAATCATTGATATGTGGGGTTTAACGTCCCAAAACCAACATATGATTATGAGAGACGCCGTAGTGGAAGGCTCCAGAAATTTCGACCACCTGGGGTTCCTTAACGTGCACCCAAATCTGAGCACACGGCCTACAACATTTTCGCCTCCATCGGAAATGCAGCCGCCGCAGCCGGGATTTGAACCCGCGAGCTGCGGATTAGCAGCCGAGTACCTTAGCCACTAGACCACCGCGGCGGGGCCGCGTCGACAAAATCGGTGAGCTTACAGCTGTTGTACAAACAGGAGCTGCCCGTACTGTGCTACCTTGACACCATGTCCCAGTCACCTTCCTGCCTTGGTCCGAGGCACACTTGAGCGGCCTTGGCTGGAGCCCGTTGCCTGTTGGCGCGTCAGATTGGCAGGTGTGAACCGAAGCCGAGAGCAAGTTCCTAGCCACCATTCCAGCCGTCGAGGAATTGGACGCGGACATGGTTTTGGGTGCGGACTACCTCTTCTCTGGTGAGGTTCAGCCCATCATAGATGGTGGTGCAGTAAATGTCCGTTCTCTGACTCCCGAGCATTATTTACTCATTTCCGAATTCCAAAATTAAAAAAAAAACACCGCAACCACAAGTGTCGAGGAACAACGGCATCTAATTGACCAGCAGGAGGCACATATGCAGACTGTACAGCAGCCGTTGGTTGAGTGTGCTGGTACTGTGCCCAAGATATCCATGGCTGTCATGAACACATTTATCCAAGATCTGCCTGTTGTGCTGAGAGCTGCCAGCCCGGTGTGTGTTCTGCTGACGATGACGTGCAGTGCACTAGAGCACCACCACAGTAGCGTGCGACACTCCCGTGGAACACATGCGCATTGCCCATGCACGTGGCGAGCGACATCGTCGCAAAAGTCACAGGAGGGCGGAAAAAGGCTAGTTGATAAGAAGAGAGGAGAGGCGGGCCCAGGGACATTTTGGGGCGACATTGCGATGGGATACGGTGACCGTCACGCTAGGCGCGAGGGTTGTCCTTCATGAGTGCTGCACAGCAGAGGCCACGCTGGTTTGTGGCCTCTATTAAGGCGAGTCGTTTGCTCATCTTATACTGCGAGTTGCGCGTGAGTTCATTTGATTCCCTGCTACTATGTTTCGCACCTGCTTTCCTGTTCTTATGTTTTACATCGTATGTTCTGTTCACCACCAGTCTGGAGGATTCTCAGGGCTCTTGGCCCACTAGTATGCACTCGTGCATGTTGTGCCGGTCTATAAGATCTGTTGAGATTCTTTTGAGTCATGAATTGAAAGTGATTCTTGTTCCAAGCGTTGCGAGCTCGAGTCATGCAAATCGAATCCCCTTGAGCGAAGGCAGTACCTTCAGCTTTCAAATATACATTATATATATATATATATATATATATATATATATATATAAATATATATATATATATATATATATATATAAAACACCGTATTCACTCATGTAATGAACGCACTTTTTCTTGAAAAATCAGAACAAAGTTGGGGGGTGCGTTTATTATGCGGGGAAAATTTTAAGAAAACTTTTTCAGTAGGAGCAAAAAAAAATGAAGTAATGTAAAAAAAGTTAGGTCACTCAGCTTATTTGTTGCACTTCACTTATTTTTGGTGGTTGACGGCGCGCAATCTTTTGTAAGCCGTTTCAACACCGCTCATGCACGCCATAAAAACGTTTCACAGCTATTTTTTCTCGCAATCAATTGACCGCAACAGTAGTACCTGCTGTGATCTCAAGGGGTGCCCAGAAGCGTGCACTACGATGCCACGACGCACTTACCAAACTTCGTGGCAACCTCGCACAACAACAACGCCGCCGCCGTTGACATTGTAGCAAGCAACTGATATCGCAGCAAGCTACCACCGAAGGATCAAAACAAACTGCCAATAACAACATTAATGACAAAATAAGGCAGCCGCCTCGCTTGCAACCGAAGCGAGAATTGGGGACCATGTTGTGGAAATAGTCACTATCTTTTTTGGGCAACAAGCAATTTCTTTCTGGTTTTCCAGAAACCTGCGATGCTATGGCGACGTATGGCCCTTCGCGACAGCCATAGAAACAGCAAATCCTGTCGCCATCACTTGAAATGGTGTGCATGTGGTTGGGCCTTAAAGGTCCGCATTTGCAGGAAAGGACAGTCGGTTTGAGCGGGAAGTTTCAAGACTTTCACTCTGAGTGTTTGACAGCTGCGATGTCTCTACACTCGCACCGTTCGTGAACCCCACTGTGGCGCATAAAATATTTGAAAAATACTGGCTAAGTGCCACCCACAGATAGAAAGAAAAACTATACGGCACGCGGCAGCAGGCAAAAGGGGGGAGGAAACGAGCTGCAGTGGCCGGGGGAGAGGGGGTAGCACAATAATGAAATACAGAAGAGATCCAATGGGCAAGGAGGTGGCAGCTGTAGGTTAGTGGGAATGTAGGGAGTGCATTTATTATGCAAGAAAAAAAATCCAAATTGTGACGACTGAAATTGGGGGTGCGTTTATTACGGGTATGGGTTCATTAAGCGAGCAAATACGGTATACATGTGTTTGTGTGTATGTATGTGTGTATTAAAAAGTTCAGTCTTCAAGAAAAATTTTAATGTTCCTTTTGAAATGCAATAACTTCCATCAAATTGGCTTTGTGATTGCTAAACAAAATTGTTTCCTAGTTTTCATGCAGTTAACAGGAAGCTCCCAAGATAAAGCTTCATATTAAGTTGAGCAAGTAGGCTCATCAACAGGTTTCTCAGTCTATTGAAATTTCACTCACCTCTGATGCAACAGCAGAAGTAGCAGCGGCTGTCAGGTTGAGACTTTCCGGCTGACTTGCTACGGATGAAATGGGCTGAAATGGTGACGTGGAAGCAGTCACCTGGGTCCCAGAGATGCCAGCACTGCCAGCCGCAGACTGTGTGAAGGCAGATGACCCAAATGGAAGGCACGACAGCTGAGGCATTGCAGCATCTTTTACGGAATCGTCTTTAGAAGGCAGTGCTGCACCAGATTGAGGGTGCACTATCTGAAAGCCACCAAACTTGGCTTGAAGTGGTGCAGGGACACTACCAGTTGTCGATGTACCAGTTGTGGGCTTGTCGTTGGCAGATGACAGGGTAAAGTTGAAAGCTGCTGCAGTAGACACTGACGTCGAACCCGTATTGCCGAAGAGTGACTTCTCAGGTGTTGCCTCTTGCTGGTCCTAAACAAAAATGAAAGCACAAATGTAAGCAAGCGGTCTCGCTACATTCGACCACGGTGAGAAGGTTTGAGGAAGCATTAAACCAAAGGAGACAAGCACTAAAGAGGCAGTCCAGGTCAGCAGGAATGAAGAGCAGCAATAACTTCAGTCCAGGAAAATTAAAATTATGGAGCAACATGTATTAGAGATTAATATCCCTTAAAACAAGAGGAAACAATTGAATGAAAATTTAACAGAATAAAGCACTTACTCCTTTTGTCAAATATGATTTCAGTTTTTCAAGATTTCTAACTAGTTACTAACTGCTTATACAAGGTTTGAGCTCGACACATACAAGGTTTGAGCTCGACACCCCAGACCTAGAAGCAGAGAAGTAGCTTTCTTTCCTCTTTTGGCTCATTGAGAAGCGGGCGTTGTCATTTTCCCATTTGTACCTGAGATCTACAGAGAAACCCCATACGAATTTTGCAAAGAGAAAGCATCCTAGTTGTCACTCATACCTCTGTAGCTTCATGCTGCAGACAAGCAATGATGATTCCTCTCTTTCATAAACCTTCCTTCACGTTGAAGGCTGCACAGGGTGCATCCTCGAAACCAATGCAAGGTTCCTCCTCCTCCTATGCTTTCTCGCCTAGAACGCAATGATTTAGCCTTTGCTGTATATGTTAGAGATTCTTTTGATCCTCGAAATTTCTCCTTGTTTGCTCAGAGTCATCTACTCTTTTGAGTTTGTAAGCAAAGCAACGTAACCTTGCTCCAGACACTCAGATACACCCAGGCATATGTCTAGAGTACCGCAAAAGTGGCTTCTTCCTTCGTCAACCTCTCACACGCAGGAGCTACAGCCTTTGCCTTAGCACTGGTGACAAGCGGATAACAAGTTGGTGCCAAGTGCCAATTCAATCTGTGTGCACCGGTCACATGCTATTTGTATGCACCATATTCCAATAGATGATGCTCTTTCAATCAATCATAGGTTTGTTGGCAATGAGCCATTCCTGATACGGAAATTTGATCTTTTATCGGGGTCACTAGTAACTTCACTTTGTCACATTTCACTGTTGAATTTCAGCGCATGCTGTAGAACTGTCATAGTTGCCTGTATCAGCAGAAGGGCTTCATAAGCCCACTTGCTTGCGGTTACACTCTAAAAGTATGCAATCTGGGCAAATATTACAGTCGCGAGCGCCACGGGTCGAGCCCGAATGAAAAAACACAACCCCTACAGTTACCATGCTTCAGTTAGAAATTCTTTCAGTAGTTATCTGGTTGGAGGAATGCCTTAATTTTTTACCCATAAAAATAGAATCTTGTCTTAATGCATAATTTTGTAATCGAGATATAAGTAAGCTCTTCAAGCTCCAGCAACCTTTGAATTCGAAGAGATCATGTTCGAAAGCCAACGATATAATCATGGCACTTGCCAAAGTGTAGGACTCCAGATTCATTTCTCCCACCTTGAGTAATTTGCACCTAAAGCTCAGTGACGCACAAACTTAAAAGTGCAGAGCTGTTTATCAAATCGTTCCTAATGAACCAAGAAAACCATCATCATAAACAGTTATGCATCACAGAAATCAGGTATATTCCACTGCTCAGTACTGGTACAGTAAAAATAAAAAAGGCAACAGTTAGCTCCACAACTGGCACTGATTGATTGATTGATTTGTGGGGTTTAACGTCTCAAAACCACCATATGATTATGAGAGACGCCGTAGTGGAGGGCTCCGAAAATTTCGACCACCTGGGGTTCTTTAATGTGCACCCAAATCTGAGCACACGGGCCTACAACATTTCCACCTCCATCGGAAATGCAGCCGCCACAGCCGGGATTTGATCCCGCGACCTGCGGGTCAGCAGCCGAGTACCTTAGCCACTAGACCACTGCGGCGGGGCAACTGGCACTGAAGTGATGACGGAAAGCGGAAGACCTTACTATGGAATGAGAAAGGCAACAGCGGCTGCGAAAAAGCCCCAAAGCAATAGCAATTTCGCCAAAGCAATTTTCGCCCTTGGACAACCGTGACGTGTCTGTGACTGTCTATGGCTCAAATTCAACCATTCTACACTGAGAATGAACATAGAAACCACTTAGCTAAAGCTTAGCAACAACCTAGAACCTGCATCAGTTAGCTAAGGTCTACAAACAACCTAGAAGAAACCAGATTAGTCTTTACAATCCAGTTTTGCTGTTAGTTACAAGCTCGTGGCTTAGTGAAAACTTTGTCAATTTTACAAATTTTCATTCTAGCCAAAATGTGACTGAGACGAACATTTCTGTTTTTCATCTTCATTGCAGCCGGGACCGAACTCACAAACCAGAGCTTGGGACTGAGACGTGGTTACGTTCCCAAATGAAACCATACTTAACTACATGCAGACTGCACATGTTATACATATAGAATGAGAGAATGAATATAGGGGGCAAACCCTTATTACAGTATGCTAGAGCTTAACTGATTCAGACACATTGGCCAAAAGACAGATTCTATACACACTTAAAATGCTTCATAAACGAATGAAAACTAATTGCACTATTAGTGATGCGATCACAAGACAGTGTGGGTTTCTTCTCCCCTCATTTACCACGGCTTGCATGCTTGGCCACTGTTTATTATTAATAACCAACACAACCTTCAAAAATAACTAAATATTTAGACCAAGTGCAATGCCAAAAAAAAAAAAAATGCCACAAGTGACTCAATCCGTTGTTGTACACATTTTGAAAACTGAACAGCCATTTTCAGAATTACATTATGAAGTGGTTTTCACACCTGAATACTTTTAGCAATTTTGTTATAACACTATATATTAAGGAGCATTTTTTATTAATGACACAAAGTTTCCGGAACCATTTTAAGCCTTTTTTATATATAGATGCACAGGCATCTAAAAAGTGCGATTCAACACTCTCTAGTGGGTAAAATGTGTCTCTCAAGTAATAATGACAGATGCCTGCACTATGCCCATGGGATTGACAATGTGGTCTTGCTCCCAATTTGTTTAATTGCAAGAGTAGCCTTGTAATAATCAAAAGCTATGAACAAATATGTATATATACCTGCCTCATGCATCTAATTACAAGATTAAGCCATAGCACACTATTTGACTATTCCAAAGACCACTAATAAGTTTCATGACCTGGCTGCCCCACAACTCCTCTAAAGAAAAGGAGGGGAAGCTTTATACAACAAGAAATGGTGGAGATTACCACACATTTCCTTACACAAAGGAGATGTAAATTTCAACTTCTCTGTCCTGCAGTGTCTCAATGTACTTTGCGGAAGCATGTGTTCTTCAGAGCAAACACAATACTTTCACTCACAGGCAGAGACAATTTTAGATCACATATTTCTGATTGATTCAACCAATCAAAATGGTCTATCTAGATCTGTTACAATGAGAAAGGCGATTTCCCTAGCTGTCAGTGGCAATGATGCATCCTAATGCCTCCATCATTAGGCTGTGGTCTTTGATGTCAAGCTTTCATAATTTCTGCAGAAATGTCAACAGAAACTTCAAATGGAAAGAGAACTCACTGCCATTTCGGAAGAGCTACAGCCTTTAAATCATTTCACAAGGCATGTTGCTCAATAGCAAAACTTGTCTTTAAAATATATGTATTCAGATTATTTGTTCAGTTACAAAGCATTTCATAGCCTTAGTTGAACCTAACCACACACAACACAATTCTCAGTAGAACAAAGACATACAAGACAGGCAGCAATGATAAGTACATAAAAGAGCTCACTGGTGACATCTAGTATTTCTTTTATTCATCTGTAAACTAATTCTACCAGATCTGCTGTATTGTTCAATCTCAAATAATCTTTGGGGATTTTTTTATCCTTGAGCATGAGATCAGAAACTGAGGGTGTAGTCAAATTTTTGGGAGGAAAGACAGGGGAAAAGGAGGAATTTGTCTAGATGACAATCATTCTTCCTCCATTAATATGATACTACACTGATCTAAATGCATAAAGATCTTATGAACTCATTGCATTTCAAGCACCATTGTCATGGCTTTGTACAAGAATACTAGACTGCCACGTAAGTGCTTGGATTCAATTCCCGTAGAAGCCCCGTTTCTTTTTTTTTTTTTTTCTCATAGTGCTAAATGGCCGATAATGACACCAGCGGTGGTGGTGGCAAACTAATGCCCCCTAATTCGGCTGTTGAGAGCTCTCACCAGCATCTGTTACATTTGTGGACATGCAGAAAAAGAGAGAAAAAGAACATTGCACGAGTGACTAAAGCACTAGGTGATGTATTAATCAAAAACGCCTTACGAATCCGCGCTTAAAAAGTGGCCCAGAGGTGACCACACCAAAGCCACCGTATCCAGGTGCTGCCGTTGTGCTTTTTGCAAAGGAGAAGAATGATGTTTGCGCTGGTGCTTGCCCTGCTGTCGACACTGCAGATGGGAGTGATGACACTGGAGGATAAAAAAAAATTAAAATACTAACAGTGCTTTACCACACAAAATTGACCAAAGGCGCAGAAGGGTAGAAAATGAAAAGAGATAAAAATATAGACAATAATGTAATGTATACTAACAAATCTATTCATTTACATTTAGCAACATTTAGCCTTATCTACAAATAATTGCAACATTTCACACTAAAAAACTCACTACAGCTCTCGCTTGTGCTTCCTGAGATGCACAAAAAAAATATTCAAGTAGGTGTTTGGCTTAATGTTAGATACCAAGCCGCTCTCTTCATGAGAAAAGAACTGAACTATGAACATGCTGGAGATAGCATGAGTACAAAATTTGAGAGTACAAAACAACATCTTGCATTACAGCCCTGACACTTTCAGAATGCACTCAAAGTCTGCAATAAAAGGAACATATTACAAAATGCAAGAAGTTGCATGCGAAATAAGTGTAGGCAAAACATCAAGCTAGTATTGGAACACCAAAAAATGAACCTGAAGTAGTTCATACTTCTCTTACTAAAACTTCTTGCAGTAGGGTAAAAAAACAAATAAACAAACAAAAAAATATTATTTCAACACTTAAATCTAAAAAAAACACTGCCAGGTCCAGACATGCAGTTTTTATTAGATGTTGATTCATTTCATAAGGAGACTTTGAATTTTTGAGGTACTATGAAATCCATATATTTTTACACGTGTAACCATCATCACAAATAGACCAGTAAATTGAGTGCGGGGATTATATTCAAGTTTGGGAGCTTGAATAGTGTTGAGGGCCCCTAAGACAATGAAGTGGGTCACAGAACAAATTTGTGATAAGGACATCGTCAAAATCCCGAAGAATAAACACACACGAGCAGGCATTGTAGCACAAAGACAAGGTAACAGCTGGTTATTAAAGGGCCTAAAAAACCACCAGCAACAATTTTTCATCATTTTTAGAAAACGTATGCATTGAGTTCAGAGTGCCATCATGATCAACGATGCCAAACATAGCAGCGCTATGAGTCACAGGTGCACACAAATTTTAAAAAATAATTACTTCCCCTCTCCAGGCCTTTTGGCAGTATTCAGCCCCTGTCTTCACCGTGACGTTAACAGTTTCGTGTACTCGTCACCCACAGTAGCCGCACAGGCTCACCGCTTTTCCTCCTCGCACAGTGGGGAGGAGCATAGCAAATGACAGGGTTCATACAGGTTTCCAAGGGGAACATTAGAGGACTTTTTCAAGGACTTTTAAAAACTTTAAGGAGCACGACTGCAGCTCACAGTAAACTTGATTGAACAAAACAAAGGATGTTTAGCTCACTTATTGCATACTTTCACTATACTAGAAGTTCTGAAGCTCAGGGCAGGTCTCTCAGTCTTTTTTTCTATTTGCATCTTAATGCTATCAATTTCATCAGTCTTCCCATTCATAGCCTTTCGTAGGCTGTCGGAGTGCGCTAGGCTAGGGGCTGAGGTGCTGTATTGTTTTTTTTTTTTTTTCAACAATTTAGTGAGAGATACCACTAAAAGCAAAGCCGAAAGAAATCCTTTCAAACAATAATAGTTGTCTGCTGCAATAAGCGTATTTGCACAACTTTTCCTTTTTCCGAAGAGCTCAAGATGCCATGGCCTCAATGGCCCAACAGCTTATGATTTCTGGCCTACCGAAGTCGGAAGGGAATGTGAATGCCTCAATCTCGCCAATCGGCGGTTTGACCGTGCCCGATTTGAAAATCGAGGTGTCACTGAACGCGATAAGCAAGAAAGTTTGTCCAGGACCTCGCTCAACTGCCGTGAATTGGGAGTCGTACAATCATACCCTGTGAAAATTCACAATATTCAAGAATTTTCAAGGACAAACGAAATTCCAGAATTTTCAAGGTCTTGAAAATGCAATTTACAATTTCAAGCATTTTCAAGGGTTTCATTTCCTGTGCGAACCCTAGAAGGAAATAGTGAAAGAAGCAAGGGTCTTTTTTGTATCATGAAATGCATGTAACTCCACTATTAGGGCACCATTTCAAAAAATTGTCACTGCTGGTAGTCAGGCAAGCCGTACGAAGTAAGCCCGCTAAGCGCAATCCACATGCCGACATACGTGTGGAACAACACACCGCCTGCAGTAGTTGCAAACTGCTTTTCTGCCAAGCGCAATCCACATGCAGACATGTGTGCGGAACAACACACCGCCTGCAGTAATCACAAACTGCTTTAGGCATAACGGCTTCATGCACAACGCTGCTGATCCAGGTGTGGTAGCCGATGAAGAAACCGGCGAAGAGAAAGATGGCCGCTATGTGAGCATCATGCCAGCTGATGTGCCCCTGGACGATTACTTCGCAATTGACAGCGATGTTGCCGTGGCCGGCACAGTGACCGAGAGCGATATCGTCGCCGAAGTCTTGGACAGCGAAGGGGAATCGGCTGACGAGGACGTAAATGATGCTGACCAGCGCCACACAATGACAGAGGCTGTGCATGCATTGGCCGTTTTGGAGGACATATGCATGCTTTCCTCGAACAGTGTGCGCAGACTAAGCCACCTGCAGGAACTTTGCAAAATTGTGACTTCGTCGCAAATTGCATCCGTGAAGCAAACCGCAATCAGAGACTTTTTCAAGAAATAAAAGTCTAATGGTGTTAGAGACATTTTTCAAGTGTTTTGTTGGCACTTGCGATAATTTGTACCCTCGTTTAATTCGGAAATTCTCTCCGGTCCCGTGAAGTCCAAATTAACAAAGTTTTACTCTATCACAATATTATTAGTACAATGCCAGATTTTAAATAAAGTGCACTGACCTGCACTGGAGGTGGGGATGTGCGTAGTAGAAACTACAGCTTCACTTTCCTGTTCTGGCGTAAGAGACAAAGGAGGTGTCACATCTTCGTACAGTGGCTCCGCATTTCCTACAAAATAGGTAAAGCAAACTGCTCAAGAATGTTGTGTAGTAAGTGCAATAATTATGTCGACACGCATGTTAAACTTGCCTACTTACCAGAGGAAAAAAAACTACTGCTGCTGATTTTACTATATTTTCCTGTATGCCATGCTTTAGAATTCTGGTGCCTGATTAGTAACATTTCCTTAGTACAAGGCAGCAAATGACTCACTTGTACAAAGGCCTTGATGAACTACGCTGCTGATGGTAATACTGGTTCTAGCCTTGGCAGATATATGCCCACAGCAATGCTGAAGCCCAGTGAAATGTTTGACTAAGACATACATTCAGTTTCCGAACCCTAGCACAGTACATCTTGCAATTCAATTCTAAAGTACCACCCCCCAATTCATGTGCAATACTTTGCCATTGCTTGAAAAAATCAATACATTATTGCCAAGGTTAATTAAAACTGCAGTAGCCATTAAGAATACAGCAGCTTCCTGCCAGCAAGCATGAAAATGGACACACGTATGCACAAACACACACTTCACAATTGCAGGTCAGTGTTTGTAGAATTATCACTAAGTTGCTCTGGCTTTAATCAAAGATAGTAAAAGTGTGTTTGTTGTTACCAATAAAGGAGGAAGAAAGGGTATGGACACAAGCGACAGCCACAGGCTATGGTCGGCTCAATCACTCGAATACCTTCGATGTAGCCAGACGTCTGGGTCCAGTTCCCTTCTTCACATTTTCTACACGTTCTGGTGCTAAAACCTGGGATCGAACTAGGGACCTTGTAGGCAAATTTTTCGAACAAAAAGGCATTTTCAGTTTCTGCAGGATCCCTTATGCTTTTCACAGTGATGCTACCGAGGTCTGCTGATTTGGCACAATTTTTAAACCAGCAAAATTTGCATTTTGGAGCAATCCAGAGCAACTAACTTCACATCCTGAAGGAGAAGCAAGTTGCATTTACATTCAAAGACATGAATAATTATTTTGGGGCTCTTGTGATGAGCTAAGAATATTTCGATTCATTGCAAACCTCATGGAGCCAGACATCTTACAAGCACTTCCTATTTTAGTTGATGATGCAAAAATAATGTCGTCTGGCTGTTGAGCATTCTGGAAAAACTTGTTCAGTGATTATTTAAGTAGCAAATAAATAGAATACTGGTTGAATAAAAAAGTACTTCATAAAATAGCACACTAAATAAATTATGTGGTTATCAGCAGATTTAATAGACAAATGCTATGACGTACAATGCTAGAGGCTCACACAATCCGAACTGAATTTCTCTAAGATGAATTTAAAGATTAAAAAAAAAGGTTCTTTTTCTTTACAACCGATTATATATCTAGGCATAACATGACGTCATTTAGTTAGTCTCATAAAACCAGCCTCCTCCGGCAGTCATCTCTCTGTGCTGAAATTGAATGATTTAACAAACTCAGTATTCCTTTTGCAGCGGTGTTTTATCTGGCTAGGGCCACAACAAAAACACCTATAGTGTCTTCTAGAAATCAGTACAAAAAGAAAGAAAAAGAGAAACCTCGAGTGGTACTTCATGCATTCGCCTAAAACAACTCGAAAGCGAGAGCCACTTTGTTTTCATTGATATAGCAATTACATGGACATTCTCGACTGGCTTTTTGCCTTCGCCAGTAGCATAAGCAGAAATATTTTTTTTTTTGGGGGGGGGGGGGGGGGGGGATCTTGAACTGGAAAGAAGGCAGGCAGGCAAATGGTCATTTTGGGCTATATATATGGCATGGCAAAAGAAAATGATATATGCCATGGCAAAAGAAAAATGACGTCAAGCCTTATTATTTGATATAACAATACAATTTGTTGGTCTTGCATTCACTCCTATGAACTTAAGGGGAGATGCGGGTCGTAAAATGAGTTTTTTTTCAAAATTACCGATTTTTATTTTTTCCTGTTTTGATAAGATTAGTACCTCTACTGTTATGAAAAAAAAAATTACAAGGCGAGACTTAACTGCAGATGCTTCAAAATTGCATCTAAAGAGCACAAGGTGCCTGTTAAAAGGTCCAAAGTGAGCAGTCTTCGAGCACCTTGCCACCGATAATGCGCTGCCACTCGCCATTGTTGATCACATGAGCGGAAGAGTTGAGCCTCACTCTTCAAATAACAACAGTTTCACTTGCTGATGCAGCACAAGAATTAATAAAAAGAAGCACGCTTCGACGCATTTTTTGAGCGCCGTGACTGGCTTTTCACGTGGTACGGATCGGGGGACCGCCATTGGCCACTGCGCGCCTGTATGTGCTGTGACGCCTATTTGCGGGGTCCATGTTTTGTCGAGCAGTGCAGCTGAACAATGCTTTTCTCGTGTAATTATCTCTGTTATGAATGAGAAAAGCCATTGCTCGCAAGTGAAAGGCGTTGTGCGGCGCGCTCTGTAGGAATAGGCTACAAGCAGCTGGTCCGATTTGCGGCAGTTGTTGGCTTGCAAAAGCCAATGCATCAAAAGTCATTCGCACCCATCAGCCGGAAAGTTCGTGATGCGGCTATGTAATGACAGCACTAATCTTGTGAGGTCGAAAGAGCTCGCAGTGAGGGAACTTAGCAGGGACAACATTGCCATTATGTACGACGGTATGTGGCACAAACATGGCCGCAAAATGGCACGACACTGGGCTTAGTTTTGATTTCGCAGACCTGTCGAACTTCTTCCTAGCTTTCAGTTGGTTGGCTCTGCCAGATGGAGCGGAAGTTTGGCAAGCGTTTCATGACCCTGTCTGTGAGCGAAATGTCTGTGAGGATTCGGCTCGAAAAAGCCGAGAGGGACAAACTTATGGTGCTGGCATATTTTAGTGGCAGTAGCCACTAAAAAAAAGATTGTTCTTTTTGGTTGTCAAATTTAATCAGACTTAATGATATCTTTCATAAAAACAACTCAATTTTAACTTTAAAAGTTGTTTTCCTCAAAACACAAATTTTGCCATTTTTTTTTTGCAATGTGCCCCTCCTTTTTCAGGCACTTCTAGTGCTCGGATCTGCATGAAATTTTGCCTAAATTTTTTCCAAGGTGTGACAAATGCAATTATCTAGTTTAAATTTCAATATTTTATGGTATACTAAAGAAAACTGTTTGTAAACCTTTACTAGAGTAGGTGAAATATGGACATTTTACATATTACTTTTCACGCCTATTCCATATTTTGTATGTGCATTTCTAATTAGTTATTTGCATTCTACACTTTATTTCAAATATTAGGAACTATGAACGGTAAAAAATTACGGAAGCTCAGGGATGAAAAGAGGGCGGGCAAAAGGGTTAGGGTTTTCACTTTGTCATGTTGCAGGGCTAAAAGTATGCAACTTGCAGAAAAAACTAATTATATATTTGAAATCAGCATAAAAAGTTCCATAAACAGCTCAAGTTTCATTGCTCTAGGATGAATATTTAAAAGAAAAATGTCTTCAAGTTGCATCTCCCCTTAATAGAAACTAACGAATTGTATCTTTTGGTCCCATTATTGCATAACTCAACAGAATGCTGGATCAAGGCACAATGATCACTCCAGTTACCGAAGCGGTTTTTGTGCTGTCAGATATCTATAAACATGAAGCAGAGGTTCTTAGCGCAGAAATTTTATTAGCAGTCTTATTATGCCTAGATATAGAGCTCGCACCAGCGAATGCGCCCTTCGGGCAACGCAGCCTCTTCCACCCCTTTTTAAAAAAAAAGACGCAATGGATGCGATGCTGTGATCTTCTTTTTTTTTTTTTTTTTTTTTTTAACCGTCAGCTACTGACCCTGGAAAGCGAGGGGCCTATGTGTAAAATGGTGTAGCCAATTCACAGTGGGCCTTCTGATAAGTCGCCAGTGATGGCCCCACTACTGAAACCTGCAGGTATTAAAACTGAATTTCGGCTGCTTTGACCAGGAAGCATGCTTTCATTGATGAGACGACATTTAAAAGAAAAAGACGCACGGGAAAACTTTGTACTTGGACTCGACTGCTCTTTCGAACTCAGCAATCTCGAGTTCGAAAGGGCAGGGTCTTTCGGGGCCCTTACCGCAACAGTGATCACAAACAGGGTTGTGCTGGTGGACGGCATTACGAAAAAGCTCTTTTGAATGAATATCCAGGAATAAAGTATATTAGAAGAAAAGTGTCAACACATTCCCACCGTTCACATATTCTTTTGTGGACGTTAAGCACGGAAAATTAGATCACAATGTCCAGAAGTAGAGGTGAACGACATTCTGGCAGCAAACGTCAAGTTATAACTGGAAATCGCTTCAATTACGCGCTGCACAAACAAGCTATCAACAGCATTCCTGGAACAGACAACCTCTGCCAATGAATCGCTGCCAGTTTCATGCTACCAATTGGACTAGATGTCATGAGCGCCTGCGGAGAGTGCGTTTCGCTGTTAAGCGGACTTGCACAACAGAAGACGCGTCGACACTAAACATAACATTGTGCATTACTTAGGATGCACACGCGACCGATGTTTGTTCAGCGGAATAATTCTAGGTACTTGATTGTGACTTTGGTGGCCCCGAGAAAAAAAAGCACATGTTTGATGTGCCGGCGTGGCTATTGCCGGTGATAGACGATTCCAAATTCGAATTTAGCGCAGTTTGGTGCGATTTCTGCAGATATCAGGATGGCGCAGTAAATCTGATTCGGAGCACTTTGGCGCAGTTGGTGCAGGAGTGGGATCACTGTCTTTAAGATCAGTGCATGCAGCAAGCCACAGATCTTGCATCATTGGCAGCAACGGTACTTGAATGCCTTTTCCACCACAAAAATGACAAGGAGTGCACCAGGTTTCTCAGATTTATTTGGTCTCGGCTAACCTGATCGTGTCAATATTGTCGCATCCCTATCTGTGTCCAATATTGATACAAAGTCTGGTAACAGCATTACTAGCTAGTTGTACAGAAAATGGTAAACCAATGACCTTTTATAATTACCAATCTTAAACTAACAGTATTGCACTTGAAATATGCTCAATCTGTGGGAGATTTGGGGAATGTAGCT